GAAGAGGAAGAGAAGGGGGAGGAGGAAGATGATGAGCAATATGAAGATAATAGAGGAATTCAAGATTTTGACAATCTTGAAGAAGAACAAGAAGAGTAGAAGAATAAGAGGTTTATTCTAGTAATTTAGTAGCTTTGATTTTGACAATTTGAACTTTTTGATTATTTATAATTTTATATTGTGTCTTTGCAAGGTTTACATTATGTTTTTTAAGAATTGCGCTTCACTTTAATAAAGCGTGCGCTTCGCTTTGCGCTTCGCTTTTGAAGCGAGGCGAGCCCTTGTCGCTTTTTTGCGCTTCTCGCTCTTAAAAACACTGGTNAGAGGAATTCAAGATTTTGACAATCTTGAAGAAGAACAAGAAGAGTAGAAGAATAAGAGGTTTATTCTAGTAATTTAGTAGCTTTGATTTTGACAATTTGAACTTTTTGATTATTTATAATTTTATATTGTGTCTTTGCAAGGTTTACATTATGTTTTTTAAGAATTGCGCTTCACTTTAATAAAGCGTGCGCTTCGCTTTTGAAGCGAGGCGAGCCCTTGTCGCTTTTTTGCGCTTCTCGCGCTTAAAAACACTGGTCATTAACCCAATCCCAAATAGGAATCTCCCTTCAAAGGAAATTCTGGATTAGGAAGTACAATTGATTCTCTTGTGGAGGGGTTCCATAGCAAGAGTATGGGCGTTGCATCAAAAATATTATCAACCGTGATAATAGCCAAGCCATTGTAAAAATAATTGATTTCGCAGTACCTTGGTCTAGAGTTTGAAGGGCAATCAAGTTTCTGTACATCCTCAACCAGTTGAACCGAGGATAAAGGACAACAATACATGGAAAATATACAATCCTTAGGGCACTTTTGGCAAATAAGAAACTTTTGGGAATTTTGATCATTCTTGGCATGATTGAGATGCTTCACGTTAAAGTAAGGCTTGGAGATCAATGTATTCCAAAATTTTGAAACACATTCGAAACGAAGAAGAGACCGCACAGTTAACCTGCTGAGGATGTCCCCAAGTATTTCCTCTGGGAAGTGAACTGCCGTGACCTAGATTAGAACAACCAGACAATTTTTTAAAAGCACTCCAATATTAGACATTTCAACCATGAGTTTAGAAAAGATAAACCTGAAACATGTTTGATTTCTTCTATCTAAATTTTACAAAGAAATAGTAACAAAATTGAAACTTTCAGTATTTCCGACACGTTTGATGCATTGGTTATACTTTTCTAGTGTGACTTTAACATTATTAACAGTAATTTAAGTAAAATTAAACACGGAATTATACACCTTTTAGCCATAGAAAAAAACAAAAAGTGTGTTCAACAAAAGAACTCACCTCATCAACAACCTCCATCTGCTTTGATGGCTTCACCAACTCTTTGATTTCTTCCTCTGTTTGTGATTTGCCTTTCGTGTCAGTTTGGAGCTTTGATTTGAATGGTAGGTATTTTTTTATAATTAGAGATGGGCCGGGTCGGGTCCTCAATATTGGAGTACAAATTTTGTCACTTCTTTTAATCTTTTGTAATTAATGCTACTTTTATATTTTTGAAGATCTTTTACCTTTATTATTTTATTTTATCCTAAATTACACTTTCTTGTAAGAAAGAATCTGACCACAAGATTATAGGAACGATTTTAGTATTTTATTTTTTTTATTTTTTTGTAAATAAGCAATTTTATTACCAACTAAGAGAATACAACTCAAGAAAAAAAAGAAAATGGCAAATTGGACTCAGGGCCGGCTGGAGGGTAAGGCTGCTCAAGTCATTGCCTTGGGCCCCAAATTTTAGAGGCCCCCAAAAATATTATACTATATTATTATGTATTATATATCTTATGCGATAGTCCAAATTTTAATATTTATTTATTTGGTTAAGAATGTACAAATGAGTGAGTAAAGAGCGATAAATCTCCGTCTTGTTAGTAGCATATTTATTTTCCTCTTCCGTTCTAATTTTTCCTCCTTTCTTTCACATGACTTTGAAATTTTTCTTTCCAATTTCAAACTCTGTTTCTTTGATTTAGCTACTTTCTCATATTTAATTGACTCATTGATTAGAACAGAAGCTCTTTGTGTCTAAGTGTTACATGAATTTTGTGAAATAGACCTCTTAATACAATTTGGCTTTAGGCCACCAACTTTATTGAGCCGCTCCTGATTGGACTACCCCAGGTTTGCACTCCGACTCTACTCAGTTAACCATGTCAAATAGCCTAAAATCCTTATAAGATGATGATCATCTTGATAATTCCTGTAGGTTGTCTTCTTTTGCTACGAAACACCACCAAATTCCTTTCTTGCCAATTGCAATACACAATTGCTGCCAAAGTTATTCTGTATATGGTGGTTGTTGCACTCTTCCCTCTGTGATTACTTTCAAGCCATTGTATTTTCTCGGTCCACTCCATAACATTCATTGATATACCTTGCCATTCCAATAGCTTCCCCTAAATAAAAGTAGATACAACACATGTGAAGAATAGATGTTCAATACTTTCCAATGTTGCCTGACACAAAGAACATGTCTAATCCGCCACCATTCCCCAGTGAGCTAGACGATCCTTTGTATATAACCTTCCATGAGCCACCATAGTCACCATGAACAACCATTTAGGAGATCCTGGGTTGTTACATATTAATCTTTTCCAACTAACTTTTGTGTACTCTCCAAGCATCTTTAGATACATCTATTTGATTGAAAATGAGCTTAGATTCATCAAATCTTCTTTGGTCATACCAGCCCCCTCAATATATTGCTTAGTTTTAAAAACCTTTTGTATCATCCAAGATCCAACAAGCTTGCTTGGAAAATTTATCCCACAACGAGTCGTATATGAATCCATTTCACCCATAAGATATCTTTCTTCTTACTCAACTTTTACAATAGCTTACACATAGCCGTTTTATTTCATAGCTGAACTACCAATTAGGTATCTTGGGGGTACCACTAAGCTCTAAAAGATTATTGTCATATGATGTCAACCAATAGATAAAATGATTGGCAGGATAACTTCATGGACTTCTAAATTTAGTTATGTGTCAATATTTTCTTTCCTAAATTTTGTGTTCAATTAAACATCGCGAAAGAATGGTCCCATATATTAATATTTGCCTATGTTGCTTTATAATATAGAAGTATAGAATAAATATATAAAACATAAAGTACAAGAAAGTATAATATACGCATGACTCTTGATATTTACATAGAGAACGAAGATCCATATTTTAAAAGGTTAACAAATTTACCAAACCAGATTGTGATCTAATGTAACATAACTTTTTGATATGAAAAGTGCCAGTAATGAAAGTTGTGAGCATTTACTGTGCTTGAATATTTTCCGCTCCCATCTTCCCATGCGTGTCCCCACTCTTTGTCCCTCACACTTTGTCCCCACTCCACTTTTCCTTGTCCCCCAAGCTTGCCCTCTATGCTTATCTTCCACACTTTGTCCCTCATTCTTGTCCCCCATGTTTGTCCCACATGCTTTGTCCCCCATGCTTGTCCCCCACACACAACCCCCCACATATCCTCATTTCTTTTTCTTCACATGAGGGGTGCAAAAATATCACCCAATAAAATAACATCTTCTTCCCATCTATATTTTTTTTCCGAAAAAAGGCAGTCAAAAAAAAAACTTTGAATCTTCATTTTCGGACAGGCGAACACGCCGTCCGTTTTCCTCCAGATATCAGCCTTCAAACACCATAAAAATAGCTGAAATACCTCTGATAAACACCATTAAAACATCTCCAAAATCTTACATTAATCCAGTTGAAGCTCTGTGCTCGAGGTCGTTGCCGGTTCGAGATTTTCGTACGTGGTCTCCGAGTGACGGGTCTGTTTGTTTTCAACCTCATCGAGGTGTTCTTCTTGTAAACCAGTTGGAAGATCTTTGATGTTTTGAAAGTTATAAAAGGTTCAGTTATTTACATTCATCTTGTTTCCTTCCATTTTGTTAGTTAAGCGAATACTTGTTCATTTCGTCATTGCTATATGCTATCATGCTTTTGGTTTGTCACCTTGATTAGTTTATCCATTTTCTTGATGGTTGTTATTTTTTGTAGTTTTTCTTTGTGATAATAAACTGGTAAATTGGGAACTTGTAGTCCTACTTTGTTTACAACTAAAAGCTTTAGGCTGAATTTGGTCAGTCACTCACTGGGCCATGAGTTTGAGTTGAGAACGAATTAACATGTGTTCATTAGTAGTAGTTAAATAAGAATTAATGTATATTCCATCAAATTGTTTGTCGAATTTAAGATAGGATTTTAAAATATTGACTTGAATTGGAAGTAGTAATTAATGGTAAGGGGAATTAGATTACACGAAAAGACAATGGAGCTGACTCAAATGCAAATAAGAATAAGTGACATCTCTTTCCATGACGCTAGCTACTACTAATTAATCAAATTATCGTGATTATGTATATGTTCGCGTGATATAATTACGATTATCAAAATTAAAATCAAGGTATGCGTTCGCGCAACTTTGGACGCAACAATCGTAATAATTAAATAAAGTGTTATTAGTTGTATACACGTATGTGTGACATAACTTTTGGTACACCAAACAAAACGAGTACATGTGCGGGTGATTTGTTTCAAAGATAATTTTATATTTTAATAATTAAAAGCGGAAGGTAAAACATGAGAATCAATAAATCACAGTTTGTCCAAAATTAATTCAAGCCAAATTGTAGTCAATAAAGTGACCGTGCTAGAACCACGGGACTCGGGGAATGCCTTACACCTTCTCCCCGGTCAACAGAATTCCTTACTTGCACTTTATTTTCGCAGACCAATACTAAAAGAGTCAAATCTTCCTTTGACTAGGGATTCAAACAAAAGGTGACTTGGAACACCCAAAAAATCAATTCCAAATGGTGACTCTATAAATAAAATAATCCTTACTCAAATTTGTCACTTCAAATAGAAAAACTCTTTAACCCACCATCCATAACACATATTATCTTTTGTGGGGGTAGAAAAGGGGTAAGACAAAAGTTCATCTATAAGGGTGCTTTAAAAGCCCATAAGAGTAAAACAATAATACTCCCTCCGTTCTAATTTATGTGAACATGTTTGATCGGACACGGAGTTTAAGAAAAAATAAAACTTTTAGAATTTGTGGTAATAAACAAGTCAAAAGTGGCCCAAGTTATTTGTGTGGTTATAAAAGCTTCTCATCAAGGGTATAATTGTAAGTTTAAGCAAAATTGTTTCCAAATTTAGAAAATGGTAATTGTTTTTTGGAACAGACCAAAAATAAAATAAGTTCACATAAACCGGAACGGAGTGAGTATATAATATGATAACCATCACCGACCAATGAATTATGCGTGATATTTTATTCGCAATTCATCTTACTCAATCAGGTTCCGTTTAAGGAGATTCATATAAGTTTTCCGCTTATGAATTATGCGTGATCTGTCTAGTTTAGATGCATATTTTCCTTCGAAAAGAAATTCAAGTACATTTAAAATATTATACAAGATTTAAAGAGTCTTATTAGGTATGCCCTTATAGTTTTGATTTAAAATATCACGTTCTGAACAATTTTTGTACCAAATATTTTTCAATTAAAACTTGCTTATGATTTCAAAAGAAATCAACCCATTTATAACCTAGAAATTTTTGAAAATTTTAAAATAAAATTAAATAATATTCATGAATAACTTCATCAATTTGCGATCAAGATATTTTTTCAAAACCAAGAATGAATCTACTATTGAAATTTAAATCACTTTGAAAATCCACAAAACATAAATATATTTAACTAAATTCTTTATTTCAAAATATCTAAAATCTTATATAACTTATTATACTAGTTTCAGAATATTATAGTGACTCTTTAACAATCGTCTATTTATAAAGAATTCAAGCATATGTATTTAAATATATACAAAGACAACGTTTTTTGTTATTAGCAAGTAATTATGATACAACTGATATTTTTTGTGTTTTTAGTGAGATAAATATTCAACTTTTGAAAAACCCAATATGAGCAACCTTGAAATAAATGGTAGCCCCCACTTGAAACAACTGTTTTACACAAGAAGATTAATAATACCCGTCAGATGTAGCATTATTAGTAGTTAGCGGTGGTGATGAGAAGCCATCCAGAATCAAGTCATCCAGCTTTCTTCAACATCAGAAGCAGTTGGCACATGGCTAGAGAGCTGCTTCTTAAGATCCTCGTTTTCCCTAAATCATATGGAGAAAAAAAAAACATGGATTGAAAAATCATAACAAGATCCTTTAATATATGATAAACACAATAAACAAACTTAGAAAAAACTAAGTATACCTCTTTAAATTTTCAACTGTCCTTTCTAAAGCTTCTAACTTAACTATGAAACCATCCACGTGATCTGATTCTTTCAGTGGTGCAACTTCTTTCACTCGATTAGTTATCCATGCTTATTTTTTAAGAGGTATTATATCAGTTAGCTT